GGGCTGGTCTCCACCATGACGGCCGCCCTCAGGCTCACCTGAGACCTCTAGTGTCCAGCAATGCCCACCTCCCAGCCTCCAGGCCCCAGGAGGCCACCAACCACACCTCGGTGCCCAGGTGGAAGGTCCCCTGATGGACACTGTGCGTGTGACCCTGTTATTCACTCAACACACGGTGCTGACCCCCTGCAGTGAGCAGGGCCAAGGAGCCAAGGGCGGCCAGGGGAGGGCCAGCGGCCACTCTACTGTCTTCCAGGGCAGAGCGCCCCTAGCAGGCACGCAGAGGTCCCCAGGGGGAGGCCGGGGCCAGCCCTGGAAGGCCTCCCGGAGGAGGCAGGACTCGGCCCGCAGTTGGAAGGACCAACAGTAGAAAGACATGGAGTCCCCAGGCCCGAGAGGGTGCCCGGCAGCGCCACCCGGTGGACAGGCGCACTCCACGCCCCACCTCCAGGGGACCCCAAGGCCTCCCTGTCCCCATCTCACAGATGGCGCTCGGAAGAGTCACAGTCCAGGAGAGTGCCAGGCAGGCACCAGCCAGGACTCCGCTCGTGGGCGAGGTCCGGGCTGCGTCCAGGGACCTGGAGTCGGCTGGCTGTGATGGGTGGGGTGGTGTGAGAACGAGTGGGCGTGTCACCCTGTGTGTGACCCACGTGACTGTGGCTGTGTGACCTCTGATTGATACTTGCATTTGTGGACGGGGTGTGTCTCGCTCTGGGCCCTGGGAGCGGGTCTGAGGCGTGTGTCCACTTGGGTCCACACAGCTGAAGGTGGCTCTGCTGTCCCTGGCGGTGTCTGAGGAGTGTGGCTGTTTGGGACCGTGTGACGCTGTGTGGCCGCGGGTCTGTACAGGAGCCTGAGCCTGCAGCTCTTGCAGGTGGCCTGAAGTCCCCGATTGGGGTCCGCGGGGGGCAGGATCTAAACGAGATCCTTAGAGACCCCTCGGGCCAGCAGCTGTCGGCCGGGACCTCCTGACAGATCTGCAGCCTCCCCTTGGCGCAGCTCCGAGCTGGGGAAGCCCGGCCCCCAACAGGGCGGGAGGGAGGCAGAGAGGAAGCCGGGGCCATTACCTGGTGGTGGCCTGCATGTCCTCACCACAGCTTTCCCGGCACTAGAAGGGCACGCCCCGCAGCCCATGGTCAGTGGACATCTGCAGAAGGGTTTGGTGAGCGTGGAGTCAGGCGGGGTGTGGAGAAGGGGGACGAGGCTGGGGACGAGGCCGGGGACTCCACGTCCCGTGGTTCCGTGGTCAGCTGGACCTGACCATCCAGCTGGTTGCCTTACCAGGGACAAGTGTTTCTCTGGGCAGGCGACTGGCCCTGCTGGCGACCCCTGGCCTGAGGAAGGACCGGGGGTGACCGGGAGAGACCGGGCAACGTGTCCAGCTGTCCCGAGTCCACGGTCTCGGCCACGCTGCCATCATGGCCCTTGACACAAACAGGAACACCAGAGGGACAGGAGGAGGGGCGGCCAGCGGGGAGAGCTTCCCCAGGAGGTGGCATTTCAGCAACATCCAAATGACGGGCAGAGCTGGGGGCAGAAGGAGGGTGGCACTTCAAAACACAGGCTCGTCCTCCGAGAGTCCACGCAGGGCTCCCGGCCACCTCCAGGCTGAGCCGGACACAGCCTAAGCCCTCGGGATGTGGCCGGGGCAGGTCCCGCCGCCCGCGCTCTGCGGTTCCGGAGCCGTGGGAAGGCGCCGGGCAAACCTGGCTCTGGGCCTCGGGCAAGTCGCTGTGCTGATCCAACCGCATCCCCACCCCCGGGCTGTCACCACACCCGGCTGCCATCAGGGGGTC